TTAAGTAATGTCGGGGGTTTCTAAAAAGAAAAAGAAAAAAAAAGGCTTTATGGCGACCTAAACGTTCAATATTTTTAACATTGTGCATTTTATCTCCTACCCCCCTCCTGCCTCTCTCCATCACTGCACCCGGGGACTAGCAGGGAGGGGAGAGTCTGTGCAGTGTAAAGAGCACGGATTGGGTGCTCATCAGGAAAGGGGCGTGTCCAGCTTACACTTTATCCCTTTCGCTGCCAGAGCCATTTTTGCGTTATTTGCACGTTTAAAAAATCGTTTTAAGCCTGAAGATAAACTCTCCAAACATTGTATATTTTCTGAAAGAGACCCTAGAGAATAAAATGGTGGTAGCTGCAATTTTTTATGTCACACGATATTATCACAAAAGTCTAGGAAACACACAATTTCAGTAAAAAATACACAAGTTTAATTTAGGGTACAAAAAGCAATTAGCCAATTTTTTTGTAAAATATAAAAAAGATGAGGTTGCAGCAAGTAAATAGATATCCAACATTTCAAACCTTTTTCCACCTATTTTCTATAGGTGACACTTTTAAAGACCCTTATAGGTTATCGGTATAGTGTACGGAGCAGGTCTGGTGCTAGAATTATTGCTCTCATTCTGGCGTGCGTGGCGATATTAAACATGTGTATCTCAACCCTGCACGTAATGCAGTGCACATCGCATTACATTCTTTCCCGGCATCAATGACTGGGAATCTGTCGAACGGGGACCCCGAAGGGACGTCACATGTCCAGATCAGAAGGGGAGGGGAGTGGATGTGTCCGCTCTTCTCCTCCCTCCCCAATACCACATCCCGCGGTACTCGCCGAACCAGTCTCGAGCCTGCAGATGGACAAGCGGAGCCCTGAACATAGCGGGGGTGGGGGGAGAGGCTGACACTGTGGGCTGTGTGGAAGCAATCGGGTGGCAGCGCTGCTGCCTGATTGCTTCCACCTGACAGGTGAGCCCTGCTGCTTGCAGGGCTAAAGGCAAAAAAACAAAAAAAAAAACAAAACTACCTGCCCGGCACCCGGAACTACATGTCCCGGGCGTCAGGCGATAGGAATTGGACATCCCTGGAATCACCAACTAGTAATGACACCTAAATTGTTTTCTTGAAATGGGCAAGCAATAATAGATTGCCCGATATCCTAATTACAGTTGTGAAGATGAAACAATGGGCAGTAGAGGGCAAACATCCAATCACAGCCCCTGCACACGACTGGATGATGGAAGCAGACACTAGAAGGGCCTGTGTTGATGGCCTTTTGTTCACATAAAACTGCTCCTTATCAAAGTCTATGAAAATGCAAAAGCAGCTGAAGCAGGCAAAATACACCTGCAATGAATTCAGAGACCTTTCAAGTAGATGTCAAAAGAACATGGCCATCAAATATTTTTATTTTGTTTTAACAAGACATGTGCCCACCAAGATACGTCTGCTGAGAGCGGATTCACACATGTGCGGTGCGGATTGAAGCTCACAGCTAATTGATACAGTAGTGGTTCAGGTGAGGTTTACATCAGGTTCAGGACAGGATTATCCTATTCACACATTCGGTTTAGAAACGGTTCCCATATAAGTCAATGGCATGTAATCCACACCTGAACCTGAAGGCACTGCTCAGAGGTTGTACTTTTTCAAACCGCACTAAATCCACACTGCCAGTGCAGCAGACAAGTGTGGACAGGCATCATAGGAAGCAATGTTTTTTCACATCATGGAGATTTGGATGCGGTTCAAACCACAACCAATCCGGATATATGTGAACCAGCACGAATTGAAAAACTGCTACAAAAAAACCAAACTACTACTATGTCAAATAGTAAATATGCTTACCAACAGGATTGTTGGGCTGGTATGGCCCAAGCTCATAATCTGTATTTTCTGTACTGGTTTCTGTAGCACTCTCGTCAGTAACGCTTTTAACACCTGCAAGCGCATCCTCTGCACTCATCCCTGCTTTAGCGGTCTCATTTTCAGCAACCTCGGAAGCTTCCAATTTCATCTTGTGACCTTCCATATCCTCCACATCCCCAACTTCATCAAGAGTAACAAAATCTTCCATATTCCCACGAAAGCTCTGTGAGTTCTATAATGAGAAGAAAAGTTTAGCAAATTGCTTTTCAAAGTGTTCTCTCCCCCCCCACTTAAGACAGCATGTAACCAAGTCTCTGCATTAGTTCAATGCCTGCAGAAAAGCCATGGGGATACCACCCCCCCCCCCCCCCCCCCCAGGGGACCATGACACCTTGCACTCATGGGGAGATTTACTAAAGCTGGTTCACTCCGAATCTTGTGCACCTGTTTCCAACCTCAGCTTGTTCAATTAAGCTTTAGCAATAAAACCTGGAAGCTGACTGATTTCCATGCAGAAGTGCACAAGATTTTGAGAACCAGCTTTAGTAAATAAACTCCACAGAGTGTCCAAATACCGTTCAGCTCAGAATACCAAGAACATATAGGATGTCCTTCCCAGATCGTGCCTTGCGTGTGTGCCCACAGGGTCGGGCTGTGGGGAGATGTCACCAGCTATGTACCTCGGACAAGGCCGATGACAGATCTGTGTTCCAGTCCTGTTGCCAGTACCATGTGACCTGCTGAGACCAATCACAGCAGGTCCCATGACAGTTGTAAATGGATGGCTTCCTTTCATGCCATCCATTGCATACAAGTGTGTCTAGCTGTGAATGGTCACAGTGATCACATACACAGGCTGGGTCAATTACAGCCCATCTGTGTCAGGTGATTGGCCAAGGCCAATCGCAGTTAAATCAAAACAAAAAAAACTGAATCAATCAATTTCATTCAGTTAAATGCTTGCTTATAGCAAATATATTCTTACTTATAACCAAATAGTGTAAAAAAAATAAAATACTGATCACTTCCCCAAAGTAGTACAAGGTAATTATGGTAACATACTACTTTGCTCAGTGTAATATGAAAAAAAAAAAAAATCTTAAAAAAAAAAAATCTGTTTTTTTTGTACTGTCACCACCAGTGTCAGTGTTCCTGATTGCCACACCAGTTATATGATTGACACTGTATTGCACTGGTAACCATATGTTAAAAAAAAAAAAAAAAAAAAAAAAAAAAAAAGCTGAAAAGATTTCTTAATTTTCTGAAAAATTATGACAAAAATTACAAAATTTGCCATGCCTCTTATGAAATACGTCGGACTGTCTAGTTTGCAAAAGGGGTCATTTGGGGGATATCTGTACTGTTCAGACATTTTTGGGCCTCAAGAAATTATATTGGCTGTCAGTACTTCAGGACTGATCAATCTTCAGATCCCCATAGTTGGTGAAAATAACCCAAATCAGTATTTATTATTTAGCCTGTAGGAAAGTTAGAGTTCACAAAGAAATATAGCGGAATACAACTTGGCCTAAATTTATGAAGAATTATTTGCAAATTTTTATAACAGAAAGAAAACAGTGTTTATCTCAAAATTGTTTTTTTTTTTTTTGTCAATCTAGCAAAAAATAAAACCTTAGTGGTGATTAAATACCACAAAAGTATAAAAAAAAAAAAAAAAAAAAAAAAAAAGCTGTAGTTATGTGAACAAAATTATAAAAATTTAGTTTGGGTACAGTGTTGCATGACTGCGCAATTGTCTTCCCAAGTGTGAGAGCTGAAACCTGAAAATTGGCCTGGACAGGAAGGGGGTAAAAGTGCTCAGTATTGAAGTGGTTAAAACCATTATGGCACCCTCACAAGATGCCAACACATTTAGGATTACACAATATCACCATCTAAGAACAAGGCAAAGGACACCATCACAGATGTTACATTTTAACTACTTGCCCACCGAAAGATCTACCCCCCCAGACCATTTTTTGCGATACAGCGCTCCGTTACTTTAACTGAAAATTGCACGGTCATGCAATGCTGTACATAAATTAAATGTATGTAATTTTCCCTCCACAAATAGACCTCTTTTTGGTGGTATTTGAACACCTCTGCAGTTTTCAGTTTTTTGCGTTAAACAAAAAAATCCCAACAAATTTTGAAGAAAAAAAAAGTAAAACCTAATAAAAGTCAAAATTTCTTCATACATTTAAGCCAAAATGAACCCAGCTACATATTTTTGGTAAAAAAAAAAAAATCCCAATAACTGTATAATGATTAGTTTGCGCTCAAGTAATATCTACAAAATATGGGACATATACTGGAATTTTATAAAAAAAAAAAAATAAAATAAAAAAATTTCTACTAGTAATGGCAACAATCAGCGACTTATTGGTGGACATTTTTACACGGACACTGTGGGAACTACTGACACCATTACAGCGATCAGTGCTAAAAATGAGCTGATCACTGCACTACTGACACTGGGAGGGGGATTAGCATCTTGGGCAATCAAAGGGTTAAATGTGTGCCTAGCCATGTGCATGGTGTACACTAGGCGACGCTGTTACTACAAAAAAACTAAAGGATTGCATTCCCAACTCTGCAGATGCACATGATCCTTCAATTCACAACCTGTCAGAACAGAGCTCTGCCTTGTTTACATAGGCAGAGCTGTTTTCTCCTGTCCCGACGACGATTGGCAGCTGCCAGCAAACTATTCGCAGATCAGCTTCTGCTGCGAGTATTCATATAAGAAGCGAGCCGCCGCCGGCACACACGATTTTGCACAGAAGGGCCGCCCTTTAGCAATGAAACTGCTATAGGGCGGTCCTCAAGTGGTTGAAGTAAAAAACAAAAAAAAAAACCCACCACAAAAAAAAGCTAAAACTATAATTAAAATTTTATTCACACCTTCTTTCTTTCTCCAACAGCAGGAGTTGAAGAAAATGGCTCTTGGGCATCGCCTTGATTTTCACTCATCTCGTTCTGATCCAGGTCAGAAATGTCAGGTACTTCTTCTGCCCCATCTTCTACAGAGCCACCCATTTCCAAGAGTGCAGTTGCTTCTTCATCCCCTGTCTCCTCTGCCATCTCAGGCTCACATGATCCAGACACCAGGTCTGTTGGATCAGTCTCTTCAGTGGTTTGGTCATTATCTTCTGTGGTGACTACTTGTGAGGACTTGTCTGCATCACTGGTGTCTGATTTGTCAGTCTTGCGCAGCTTTGGTTTACCACCGTTCTTCTGATCTTGGGGATGAATTCTCTTTCTGTAGATGTGAAATAGCAGCATATACAAAGGTTTTCAAACAAAAGCAGAGATGTGACAAAAACTACAGGATGTGGTACATTCCTTTTCCAAGTTTGACTACCTATGTAGTGAAGTCGGAATGAGGATAACCAGAACCTTCCCCTTTATGGCAGCATAACATGCATGGTGGCAGGGCCTCAACACCCAACTATCACACATTTGTTCATTGGTCTGAGAATGTGTGCCAAGAGCTCCCAATTATGTGATCAAGAAGCCACCTCCCAACATTAACACCCTGTTAATGTAGCACTGGAAGGCTACAGGAAGGGGTTAATGTACATTTTCCCTTTTTCCAAGATTTTGACCAGCTTGTAAAAATCCTTTTCTTGGAAGTACAGAACTCAGGATCAGGTTTGTATACAGTCACCTTCAATGATCGAACACTTGAAAACAAAGCTGCAGAGACATCTATATTACCCTTCCCACTTCCAGTGCAAACAATAGGAGATAGCTAACAGAAGAGGTAGACCCATGTTCTATACCTCACAAGAAATCTATTTTACAGGTAGGAAAACAAAAAACACACCACACCTGCTTTCTTAGTCACTTAATTCCTCAGGTCCTCTTCCTAAAATACCCTGAAACCCAGAGATGCTCATTTATGCATTGTTTCGGTTCAACACATTACACTATTTAGCATTTATTGTCTACTCCAACAGTCTCCATCGCAACAGGCTTTAATTTGGAGAAGTACATATTTCCTTTTTATAGGGAATCATAAATCCCAAAATCAATGATTACGTAATTTGCGCACCCCACATAAATTTAATATAAAATAGAATCAAAGCAGGAAAGTTATAATATACACTTATTACTTCCTCACTTAAGGTAGCTGTGCACCAGGTCGTGTCTAATGGTGCCTTTATGATTGATCTGCTCAGTTGTCAAAGAATCACAGAACACCTCCTTCCACATGAGGAAAAGGTATTCTGCAGTCCTAACATTACTGTCCTAGCGTAAATGCAGGTTTTACATAAAAACAGTACAGTGAGGTAGAGGGTCAGAAGCAGGTTTCACCAGGTGACCATGAAGAGAAAAACCTGGCCAAAAATTAAGGTAGCCACCACATCTAAGGAAGTCACAATATTTATTTTGTTCCTCACTTAAATTCACTTTAAAATACTTGTTTACCTTCCATCTGTATAGGCCAGTGTGCATGCATATTACTGACTGTAAAAATTTAAGAGGTACAGAATTCCACAGACATGCATTAAAATTACCTGCCCTTTTCTTTTTGTTGTTTTTCTATTGTAGCATTTGGAATCTAAGAAAAAGAAAAAAACACCACACGTTAAGAAAGCAGACTCAAAGATTCAGAATTGGTGGGGGAGGGGTTTCTAGAGATCTATAATACGTAAACAATTTCTGATTGGCAAGCACAGATTAACAACCTAGTACTAAAACTTGCATTAAAGTGCTACTAAACCCAGGACCCTGCATTCACTATGTCTGGTCTTCCACAGTACACAGAATATGGAAGTGCAATTTTAGTAAAACTGCCAAATACCTTATCAGCAATATATAGCAGTCTTGTGACTTTTATCAGTGTCTGGCCGAGCACTGGTCAAAGCTTTTAGGAGTTTTCATTCTCCTCTTCGTGTCCTATGAGCCTGTATGGACAGTGGTGATTGGCCGTGTGCCAAGCACACGCATCCCCCCCTTGCCAATACAGAGCAACAAAACACAAATGCCTGCATTTGAGTTAGCTATCCCTACAGCTTCTTACCATTTTATTTTACATCCCCTATAATCCCGTGGATATAAATAAGCTAAAAGAAAACCCACTTTTCTCCCCTCCCAGGATGAATGAGTATATCCCATATGAGTTCATAAAGCTCCTGAAGTTCTTCCTTCTAGTACCCCAGGCTACTGCTTGTAGCTATGAGAAAGTGCTTTTACTGAACAGAACTTTTTTTCTGTAAACATGGGAGGTAAAATAAAAATGTTTACCTTTTACAGAAACTGTATCAAGAGCCAATGCCTTTGTTTAGGATATACCTCCTAGAAGAGGATCTGCTCTAGCTACCTTCTATGAGCAGTGCATACTGTATATACCCAGAGCACCAGCTATGCCCAGCAAAAAGCAAAAATATGCAGTGTGAAGGCTTCAAAAAGGTAAATACTTACTCTTAATACAAGTTTTTTGTATCGCTGTGAGAGGTTTACTTTCACATTCTTCCCTTGGAAGATGAGAGGAATCTTGGCACAGCGCTCTATCATAGTTTGTGCATCTTCTGCTTGCTCCATCTCAATAAAAGCCTACAAAAAAAATTAAATTAAACAAAAAAAAAAAAAAAAAAAAAAAAAAAAAAAAAAAAAAAAGACACCCCCTTTACCAAGGCTCATTGAAAAATAAATAAATAAAACAAGCAACCACATAGGTACCAATGCCTAGAAGGGTTTTCACAAGTGAAGTCCACTATTTAGCATTATAGTTTTGGAGGGGAGGGGGGTGTTGTATCAAGCAGCAAGTGTGCAGAGCCAAAAAAGGCATTCCTTTAACACGCAGTAAAATGTGCATTTATTGAAAACACACTTAGTGATTAATTAAAAAATACGTGTTATGCTTATCCTCCTCTTCCCGGGTCCCCCATTAACGATCCTGGCCCCTCCCTCTTGTCTCCAGAGCAAACCGCTTGCTCTGGGAGCACCAAAGCAGGTGTGTTCCCAAGATGCAGCTCTGCATGTCGATTCACACACAGAGCCGTGTCTCGACCCCACCCCTCTCTCGGCTCCCACTGCTGCCAATTATAGAAAGTGAGCCAATGGCTCCCGCTGCTGCCTCAGGCAATCAGGAGTCCCGAGAGCCAGAGCTCTTGTGGATATCACTGTAACGAGAGGGGGCTTAGGTAAGTATTCTGGGGGGGCTGCAACACACAGGTGGTTTCACCTTCATGCATAGAATGCTTGAAGGTTAAAAAAAAAAACAAAAACAAAAAAACCAAAAAAACACTTTCAGGCTTTAGAACAGCTTTAAAGACAAACTCCTGGAAACTTGAAAAATGATCCCTTGCAGCTATGTTGCACCCACACGTCAGGGGATAATTACTTTTTTCAGCTAGGTAAGTAAAAAAAGACGTGTCTTTACTCACCCGACCTCCTCTTTGCAAAAAGCACCCCCACGCTGCAGCGGTGGATTGACCCCATAATTTCATCCAATGCAGGCTATGGAACCTTAGACTGCTTAGGGAAAACTACTCTGTGGGGACCAGTCCTGCAGCGCAGGGAATGGGGTAGATAAATATACTTTAACAAGACCTACACAGGCAATTAATCCTTGTACCACAGGCACACTGCAAAACGTGTCCCAGCCTTGAGCTTTAAAACCACAATAGCCAATACTTAATACTATAAGCAAAAAATAACAAAATGTGGCAAAAGTTAAGCGCTGTGAATTCTTTCTGGATGCACCAATTACTTGGTAATGATTTTGACCACTTTTTAAAATATAGGCACCATATCAGCCTAACGCCACTCCAGTGGTTCTATCCCAGTCATTAAAGAGTGCCTAAAAATTTGAAACCATGGCTTTGAAGTCAGCAACCTGTCCACCACATGCAGATCGCAGGGATGCACTCCAGCAGGTTCAGACACTAGCCTGAACCCACCTGAACTAAGCTGCCGGGAAGCTGACATGGCTAACAGCCAATCACAGGTGGCACAGGCTACTCTTTGCCTTTGAAAGCCCACCTTGTGTTACCGAGGTGCTCTGGTGGCTGGGCTGTTTTAGCCAAGCTGCTCTTTGAATTCACTGGTGCTGCTTCTCTCAGACACAGAGCAGTGCTTCAGAAAGGCCATACACAGCAAGGCAGAGATGTGAAAATCAACTGTGAAGCTCTGGAGAAGTGTCAGGGAGGCATCTTTCCTTTTCCTATGTAACAGATTTTCTTTTCTGCCAACGCAGTGAGTAACAAACACACTGGTAATATTATGCTCCACCTGCAGTGACAGTGATAACACAGATTTATTTTCCAAGGTGGTCTATGAGTATTCCTGGGGCAGTGATCATTTTATAGCTGCAGTTTTCCCTCTGGTGCTTATCCCTCCTCCTGATTTTCAGCAAATTGTTGCATCTTCTGATTGCAGAAGTGTAAAACATCCCCCACCACTTTCCCCAGTTGTATCTGACAGAGATGCTCAATAGTTTTGATTCTTCTGGGGGTTATCAACCTGTTAAAAGATAATCAAGCTATCCTGCCAGGAAGCTGGCAAAGCCGACAGTAAATCACAGGTGGTGGAGGTGTACCCAGTCTATGAATGGCTGTCAGCTTTAACAGCTGACCAGCAGGAGAGCTGTGGCTGGTTTGGACTCAAGTCCAAACCAGCCACAGGTAAGTATCCACCGTACTGACCGCCTTTTGGTAAGACATGGACATCAGTGTTAACTTCCCCACTTTCAGAGAAGCAACATGCCTGACATATCGGATGAATGGGGGGGGGGGGGGGGGGTAGAAGCACATGTACAGTCAAACCCTATGTCCCTGCTCTGCATATGGGTAAAATCGCTGCCCTGCTTACCCCTGTACATTGACCTACCTGACAGCCAACCTGCTGACACCTATATGTTGCCGTCCAAATTCCTGACTACCTGTACACTGCCCTATACACTCATGACCCCTGTACTCAATCCTAAAAACTACTGGCCCCTGTACACCGCTTTACATGCCATTTCTTATTGGAGCCTTGCTAGCCAATTTATTTTTTAAAAACAGGGCACCGCTCTGATCTCTTCCTTGTCATCCAGGTAGATCTCCACTTCAAGGGTTGCCTGTCCCTGCTTTAAAAAGGTACAGGAGCTTTATTTTTGGGGGTTACAACCACTTTCAGCCAATCCAGCTGTTTGGGCATACCACGTGTGTCCAAAAAGTGAACCACTAATCATAAGCTAATGGCTACAGTAGTAGCCATCACCTTGTACAGGTTTTGTTTAGCCAGCTTGAAAGTGATGCGGCAGCTCCATAGCTGGCAATGCGGTGCATGTCAATTCCGGTTTCAGAAGCACCATTTCCTGGCCAGTACAGCCAGGGGACACATCCAACCAAGCTTGTCTGTGCATGGTTAGGAGGTGTGAAGGGCAGGGGAGACATTAGGGTTTCTTACATCCCCAATGTCTCCATAGAGAGCATCTGTTCCCTACCCAATGCTATCACATAGGGGTTTATTAACCCCTTATAATAGCAATCAAGTATAAAAAAAAAAAAAAAAAAAAAAAAAAGTTTAATATATTTTAAACACATTTCTGTAACCTGTTGCCACACACACACACATACGCAAAGCAAGCCCAGGGTGTGCAAGCATATGCAAACTGCGGTAGCACCACATGTGGCATATCGCCACGAACAAAAACAATAAATTCTAGCACAAGAGCTCCTTCGTTAACACTAAAATGATGAGCTTTAATGGCTTTAGAAGCACCACCTATGGTGGTTTTTGGGCACCAAAGTTTTTGGCGATATTGCAGGCGCATGCAATTTGAAGACATGGAGTGTTTGGCATCTAAATACTTGATGTAACCTCTTATATTTTAACCAAAAAATTATATTTTATCATGATTCTGCCCTAAAATAATTTTTTTCTGAAAATGTGTGTTAAACAGCAAATGTGTGACAAATATGTGCAACTACCACCTTTTTATTATACAGGGCCTTGGCTTTCATAAAAATATATGTTTTGGGAGTTTATGTAATTTTATTGCCTAAAATTAAGATTTTTAAAAAGGTATGCAAAAAAAAAAAAAAAAAAAAGTCTAATGCAGCTAAAGAAATATGAAGGCTGCAACTAGTATTGCAGAAATTCTGATCTGAATACTTAAGTGTCAGCAAACCAAAGCATTGAAGATCAAAATTACAATTTTTTTTATTTTTTTTTTTAAATGGTTCCACAAAAGCATCCTACAAAATGGTCTCAGCACAGGTTTCCACCTTTGTGTTGCAAACAGCTGATAGACAAGCACATCAGGACAAGCAGACCTGGACCAATTAATGTCACATAAAAGAAACTCAAACTATGTAGTTAAACAAAGCTTGAAATTACTTCAGTTAATCTCCATTTGTGGTTTGCTTTCCCTACCTCACAAAGGTGAATGCACTGCAAATAGGTGTATATACCTGACTTCTCATTCTCATCAGTATGTAGGTCTTCACTTTTCCATACGTCTCAGCCAGCTTTACAACTGCGCTGTCAGTATAGTTGGTTTTTGGTAGGTTAGTAAGGTGTACGACACGGCCAGGTTCTTTATCATCATCTGATTTTGCCTCTTGATCAGACTTTCCTTCAGCTTTCCCGTCAGCCCTTCCTTCAGGTTTTCCCTCAGGTTTCTATTGTTTGACAAAAAAAAAAAAAAAAAAAAAAAAAAAAAAAAAAAAAAAAGGGAGCAGTGAGAACATGACATGCACGATGTTCCTATTTCACGGTTAAATTAATCCCTTGCCTCCGGCGCCTACTGGTCCTTGAAAGGGTTTGTGATGCCAGGAGGTGGGGTTTAGGGTTATGTGACTGATTGGTTGTCACGACGATCACATGATCAGAAAGCTCCTAACCACAAGTTGCGATCAGGACCTTTAGCTTGAGGTGCCGGTAAACGTTCTGGGAGTGTGCTCTTGGCACATTGTTTACATTGGATACGCAAATATGGGGTTGCTCGGTGTCCAGGCACAACTGCCGACAGCATATATGCGTGCGCTCGGTGCCGAGGCGTTAAAAGAAAAAAAAAGACAAAATAAGTTTAATGCAGCATGAAAAAAAACAAAAACAAAACACTATAACCCAAACTCCCTGTGCGAAATAAAATGTTTGATTCAACACAGAAGCTCTTTCCCAGACCACTTACGTGAATGCTTACATCCAAATCCAGCAGGAAAATTTAAGTACCAGCAACAACAGGTCCTGACCTCAGGTAAAAGATCACCTTTGAAGTCTCCAAAAGCTAAGCAGAGTAAGTACACTCAGAAACAAATTTTACTCATCTTTACACTGTGTGCACAATTAGGCAAGTTGTATTCTTGAGAATTGTATTATTGAACAACAGTGCTTGAGGGCAATCCAAAAATGTTAAACCTCAAACCTGAATATTTAAGTAAAAAGAGAAGTTTTGGCTTTCTTAGAAGATAATCTGTGTGTACACAACTATTGGGCAACTATAAGTGTGCAGAATCATTCTGTAACTAGATGAAAAACAAAACGTTTTCCCATCTCACTTCTCTTCATCTGTTAAAGTGAGAATAATAAACTTAAAATTTACCAATAAACATGTCTGATGGAAAAAAAAAAAAAAAGAAAAAAGAAAAAAAAAAGGGAGGTGTGTGTTACCAAAACTAGCCAACCTTCTAGTCAAGAAGTCATAAGCTTGCGATTAATGGAGTCTTTTCAGTTTCTTGATTATCAACTTTTTGTGCAGCAAACACAGCTTCCCAAACACTGTTCAGTGTAGTTTTCCTTCACCATAAATCTCCCGTTTAAGAAGGGCCCACAAGTTCTCAATAGTGTTTAGGTCAGGTGAGGAAGGGGGCCATGTCATTCATCTTTAAGGCCTTTACTGGCTAGCCACACAGTGTAATACTTCGATTGCATGCGATTGTCCTGCATAAATATGTCTTCTTTAAAAGGTGCAGACTTTTTCCTTGTACCACTGCTTGAAGAAAGGATCTTCTAAAAACTGGCAGTAGGTTTGGGAGTGGATTTTGACTACATCTTGAACCCGAAAAAAGTCCAACTAGCTCATCTTTAGCCATTGCAAACCACAGATAGCCAAATGACAGCTTCACTATGGCTGGCCAGTTCTGGGAGGGTGTCATATGAACTCCTCCCAGAACGCGTTCTCCTGCGTGCCCCCGGGGGCACGCACCTGGCGATCTCTGTGTCCTACGGACACAGCTGATCACGTAGTATGGTAAAAGGCCAATCACAAACGCCTTTTACCACATGATCAGCCGTGTTTAATGACACACTGATCACCGGGAAATGCAATTGCCAGTTATCGGCTGCACTTTACTCACGGTGTCACAGCATGAGGAAAGTACTGCCGAGAACTGGCAGTTGTCAGAGAGGGGGGATTGGCACCCATCAGGGCACTGATGATCAGTGCCCAGCAGTGCCACACACAAGTGCCCGTCAGTGCCCAGCAGTGCCACCTATCAGTGCAGCCTCATCAACGCACATCAGTGAAGGAGAAAAATTAACTGTTTGCAAAATTTTACAATAGAAACAAAGAAAAAATTTTTTCATTTTTTTGCGCTTTTGTTTATAGCGAAAAAAATAAAACACCCAGCGGCGAATACCACCAAAAGAAAGCACTATTTGTGTGAAAAAATAAAAGATAAAAATTTCATATGGGTACAGTGTTACATGACTGTGCAATTGTCACTCAAAGTGTGACGCGCGCTGAAAGCTGGCCTGGGCAGGAAGGGGGTACAAGTGCCCGGTAGGAAAGTGGTTAATAATACTAGCCCATACCAGTACCCCACTTTCACCTTGCTAGCATCTAATTGAAGTGGAGCTCTGTGCTCCTTACTGATCCATCCACGGTCCCATTCATCTGGTTCGTCAAGTCACTCATCTCATCAGTCCATAAAACCTTTGAAAAATGTCTTCTGATATTTCTTGGCATCGTCTTGATGTTTAAACTTGTGTCTTGTTCAGTGGTGGTCAGGTTTCAGCCTTCCTCACCTTGGCCATATCTCTGAGCACTGAACACCTTGTACTTCTGGGCACTCCAGGTAGGTTGCACATCTGGAATATGACAGCACTGGAGCATAATGGGTTCCTGGTAGCTTCATGTTTGACTATCAAAATCTTTGGCATGTAAGTTGTATCTCTTCTCAACAAGTTTCTTGCGACTGTGTAGACTATTTGCAACAAGACGTTTGATGGTTCTGTGATCACACCCCAATATCTTGGCAAGAGTGCTGCAGTCCTCTGAAACTTACAATTTTTTTTACTTTTCAGAGTTAAATTTTTGGCTTATCAGGAAAAGAAGATGCCTAATAATTATGCACACCTTGATATAGGGTATTGATCTCCTTAGGCCACACCCTCCATTACACAAATACACATCACCTGATATGCCTAAATCCAATATGCATTTAAAGTTTATACAGGTTGTGGACAATATGCATAAAAATGATGATTTGGTCAAGATACTCAATTGTGCACACAATTGTTTTTGTTTCAACCCCCCTCCCCCAACTATCCAAGACTTTTTTTCCTCTCACAAAAACTAAAGCCCGACGTACAAGCGTTTAGGCATGCTTACAGGTGTCAAGCGTTTTGGTGTTAATTTCATTGGCCATAATAATAATTTATTCTGGCCACTGAAATGAACACTCAAGCGCTAAAAATGCCTAGAGTTAACATGTGGTTAGGTGTGTTTACAAGCGTTTTTTTCTGCCAAAACACTTCTGCTCTGGCAGTGGGTTTTTTTTAACCCTGCCTCTAAACTGCTAAAAGTCTATGTGCTCATGGACACATAGGCCAACATGGAGGGGCATTTGGAAGCAGAGTAATGCCCCAAAAAAAAAAAAAAAAAAAAAAAAAAAAAGGCAGTAAAAAAAGTCCTGTGTGAATAAGGCCTTAATCAGTTGATGCCCTGACCTTTTCAAACAAGAATATAGATGTGTGACAGACAGACACACACACGTATTCTGATGCTTTCAGCCAAGATTCAATTGTAAAAGTGTGGTAAACCTTGGTGAAAAAAATTTGCCTCCAATTTGTACGGCCACAATAAGGAGTTGAAAGCAAAAAACTTAACACATACCTTAATGCGCTTATATTTTTGTGACATGTGTACTTGGACCGGATTCCCATACACAAGAGCTGGCTTATTATTGTAGTAATCAACCATAGCATGAGCCTCTGCTGGGGTGGACATTTCAATGAAAGCCTATTGAGGAAAAAAAAAAAAAATATTATTATTATGTTAACACTGAAAACATATGTACTAAGGTTTTATTCGCAAGCAAAAACTGCATTCTAAGTTTGCTGGGAAAGTAGTGCACTAGTTCAGTTAAAATAAAGAGCTGTGGTCTGCATTAAACACCTAAAAATAACTTTGCACCAATCACACTGATAAAAGAAGTGCATAATCTGAACTGTAGGATTCAGCATTGCATGTGGCTAGAACTACAGACGCTACTCACAAAAGGTCTGGCGATTATCATGAATGCTCATATTGTATGAGCAAGCACCCTGAAGTCATGATTACCAGGGCAATAATTAACATTTACATTGAGCATTATTGCAATTCTTGAGGAGAAACATCTGCTGCAAAAGAAAAAAAAAAAAAGTGCATCTCTTCTAAGTAGGCAGTTCCCCATTTACTCTTTGCAAACACTGCTAGTGCAGTAAAAAAATTAATACCTATTGATCTGCCACAATGCAGCAAACAATTTCCCTGTGCGCTCTGCTACACTAAAATCTAACTGGTGTGTTGTCAGTTGTAACAGTTCTCCCTAGCAGGACTACAGAATACATTTTGCTCTTCTCCTCAACAGGTTCTAGGTAGTGCAGCAGAATTAATGCTAGCACAATGGATTACCATCTTAGTGCTCAGTGTGCACAACTTTTTACTGTCCAAACAACATTTTTTAAAGAGATAACATGGTGAAATATCAATGTATAGCAGAGATGAAGTAAATGTATTTATTTGCCTAGACACATTTTTAATAAAAACAGACACCACCCAAATCCTGTATGATAGCTAGCAATATGAAAAAAAAACCATGGTATCTCTTATTAGGTACTCCAGTGTATCACCTGGACCATCACTGTTCTAAAGCTTAAATGAGGTCCACCTTTCAGCAATTTATTTTTAGTGCAGAATCAATAGCTAAGGACAGTGACACCATTATAGCCTTGTACAGAGGGTGTAGACACAAACAGGAAGGTTACATCAAGATAAAGAATGGCATCCAACCAATAAAGTGTCCAACCACAAAGGGGAATATTTTGGGTGGGGCTGAAATTAAAGATCAACTGTAAGCATAATTTTGATAGCTATACCTCGTTCTTTTTGTTCAGAATGAAACAGCTGGCAACCGTTCCAAAGGGCTTGGCAAGTTTTAGAAGCTGGAACCTCAAGTTCTTTCCTCGCTCAAACTCCATGATATGAACCACCCTGCCGGTTCCCTAAATGAAAAGCATAAATTAAACCACTGCATAGAACAAAAAAGTACTTTTGTCAATGGCATGCACTGAGTACTTCTAGGAACCAGTTCAATCTAGTACCCACAGATATCCAACACTCAATTCTCAGCTTCCTGAAGAGGTTGGTGCTTGAACCACCCTCCCCAGTAATGAGACTGATGGCCTTAAAATCAAAGGATGAACAGGCAGCGAGGCCACGACTTTCGTTTAAAGTGAACTTATATTTACTGACCTATGTAAATGAACAGGATCATTAGTCAATGCTACCCCCCCCCCTTCAATAGCCTTAGAAATACTCAGGAACTTGATGTGAAGTCATATGTTCCTCCACACCTAAAAGCACTCCATTACTAGGCAACATCTCCAGGCCTGTAAAACTTGTTTCTTGGAGTAATCAAAAGAGATCCCTCTTCTCTATTCATCCAAGTCACCATGACTAATGAAGGCGCACTGTGTCCTGCGATGTACAATTAAGAAAAAAAAAAAACACAAACATTTTCCTGTACTTTTAGATACAGGTTTAAAAAAAAAAAAAAAAAAAAGTGGAAATTTGTGAACATGTATCGGTTCTTTACTAAAGATGTTGTATTCCAAACTAACATGTCTGTGCATATCGTGCTACAACTGCCTACAACAGCCATTACTGCGTATTACGGAGTTCCCATAATCTAAAAATCAGAAGACCCACTTCAGTGGATACAAACCATTTTCCTTGGCATTGGTCTTTGTCCTGACATGTCTTCATGTCCTGCACAATTAAAGCACAAACATTACAATTAAAATAGGTTCTACAGGTATAATGCAAACAAATATCTGCATCTATGTTTAGGGCATTGTGGTTAAAAACACAAAAAAAAAAAAAAAAAAAAAAAAAAAAAAAAAAAAAACACCTTGTATTTTTTTTTTTTTTTTTACACTTATGGTTTGCATGGTCTTGCTTTGCATAAGCCATGTGCTGTAAACAGACCACTACATCCTGGGCTTGCAAGTATTCCAAGCAAGGGACTGGTGAAAGGGTATGACATCCCTTCCTAAAACATGAATTATCTCCTCAGGCACAGAACCCACTTACCTAGGTAACCCCTAAAGTTTCCATGTCGATCATCAGGGCCACCTCTCATGGCCATCGCTGGAGGAGGTGGTCCCAGAAGTCCAGGGGCTGGATTGGTTGATTGCTGCAGCATGTAAGGATCGCCCCTGCAAATATTCCATCAGTTAACACTGGATGTGAAACTGGAACATTTTAAAACTATACACAGAATAAGAGTACACCACACCGACCAGTAATAAGTGTTACATCAACAAGATATGTACAACTGAATGCTCCCTGTTATTTTATTACCCAAGCTACAGAAAAAAAAACAAAAAACCACAACACTTAAAAGCAGCTTGAGCTGTCTGTATATACAGTCTGTGGTGCTCCCTGGAACTCCTGAACTCTAGGCCCTCTCAGCAAATACCAACCTTCCAGGAGCATTTCAGAGTCATATCTATTCACAATGTGTCTCTATTGATCCTAGAATCATATGCAAATGTTTTACAGAACACTTTAGAGTAATCTTACATCCCAAAAGACATACTGGCAGGTTTATCATCTACTGGTCAAATTTAGCACACATATTCCAAGTTCTATTAGTACTATGGAATGGACATTTGACCAAAGCTAGGACTACATACTTTTCTGCCATATCAAAGGACAAAGTAAGTGTCTCTGCAAACACCCCCCTGACACCTTCCCCATACTCCCCCTTAGAGGACCAATAGGAGTGCATAGTGTAGTTAGAGCATTTTATGTTACACACTTACATTCCATGTTCAGCCAATTCTGGAAATCTGCACAGAAGACAAGCAATACATTAGTTGAATGTAAAATTAAAAAAATTAAAATTAAAACTAACAAATTGTTTACATGCTACACAAACCCTTTACTTTTCCAGAAGGCAGAAATCAGGCTATTGTTCCCCATTAAAAAAAGAAAAAAAGGAAGAAGAGCAATTTGCATGCATGCCACATCAATGGCCTGCCAAGGAACTCTAATTTCACCAATGTACAGTTACCGAAGGTTTTTTTTGTACATTTGGTCCAGCTCATCTTAAACTTGTGATAGACAGGTCAACTTTAAGTGGGCACTAGCTGTGAATGTCTTTCTAGTATCTACACAAAATGATCCCCCATGTTTTCTTTACATCTTAACATTAGAGTAGAAGGGAAAGCCAATGAAAAGACAGCTGGGGAAGGGGGGGGAGGGGTTAAGGGGTTAGCATAACTAAACCAAGTTCTATTTAAATTATATGCATCAAATCTTCTTTGCCCAATGGCTACCTGACACATTTGCTTAACTCCTTTGCACCAACAGTAGGCGTACAGTTGTGTTCAAAATAATAGCAGTGTGTTGAAAAAAGTGAATAAAGCTCAAAATCCTTCTAATAGCTTTTATTTCCATACACACAAATGCATTGGGAACACTACACATTCTATTCCAAATCAAAATATGAAGAAAAATAGATCAAATTTGTGTTCCTCTAAAAAAATGAAAGAAAAGTAAATGGACTGTTCAAAAAAAAAAAAAAAAAAAAAAAAAAAAAAAACCAGCAGTGTTTGTATTCTTCTTTACAAAATCAAACATTCACTATATAAACTGAAAAATGTTTGAAGATTTTGCTTTCCTTTGAATCACTTAATGAATATTTAGTTGTATAAGCACTGTTTCTGAGAACTGCTGTACATCTGTGTTGCATGGAATCAACCAACGTCTGGCACCTGTGAACAGGTATTCCAGCCCAGGATGATTGGACTACATTCCACAGTTCTTCTCTAATTCTTGGTTTTGCCTCAGAAACTGCATTTTTGATGTCACCCCACAAGTTTTCTATTGGATTAAGATCCGGGGATTGGGCTGGCCACTCCATAACGTCAATCTTGTTGGTCTGGAACCAAGATGTTGAACGTTTACTGGTGTGTTTGGGGTCGTCTTTTTGGCACACCCATTTCAACTTCAGCATAAGGCAGCATACATTCTGATGTATTCAAACTGATCCACGATCCCTGGTATGTGATAAATAGGCCCAACACCATAGTATGAAAAACATCCCCATATATGATGCTTGAACAACCATGCTTCACTATCTTCACAGTGTACTGTGGCTTGAATTCAGTGTTTGGGGGTCGTCTGACAAACTGTCTCCGGCCACTAGACCCAAAAAGAACAAGCTTACTTTCATCAGTCCACAAAATGTTGCGCCATTTCTCTTTAGGCCAGTCAATGTGCTCTTTGGCAAATTGTAACCTCTTCAGCACGTCTTTTTTTCAACAGTGGGACTTTGCGGGGGCTTCTTGCAGATAGCTTGGCTTCACATAGGCGTCTTCTAATTGTAACAGTACTCACAGGTAACTTTAGACCTTCTTTGATCTTCCTGGAGCTGATTGTTGGCGGAGTCCGTGCCATTTTGGCTATTCTATCCATTCAAATGGTAGTGTTTCGCTTTCTTCCACGTCTTTCAGGTTTTGGTTGCCATTTTAAAGCATCTGCGATTTTAGCTGAGCAGCCTATCATTTTCTGCACTTTATATGTTTTCCCCTCTCCAATCAACTTTTTAATCAAGGTACGCTGGTCTTCTGAACAATGTCTGGAACGACCCATTTTCCTCAATTTCAGAGAGAAATGCACTGTAACCAGCATGTACAACATTTGCTGTCCTCCTTCCTTAAATAAGGGCAATAATTGCCACCTGTTTTTCAAAGAATGAATGACCTCACTAATAGAACTCCACAGAATCAGCAGCATGCATGTCATGACTGTTGGGTCTGTTGGATTTCTATTACTCTACTACACCTGCTAGTAAATTATTTGCCATGTAGAAATATCATTTCTACCAAAAACAGTGATTGATCAGGTTAGTGATGTCTGACTGCTATTATTTTGAACACAACTGTATATGCGGTCACCTGGCGGGTGGGCCTTGACACTGAAAGACTGCATATGTGCGTAACAAGGTCTCACAAGCTGGAAAAATATGCCACAGATTATACAATGTTATAATTTTTTTTTTTTTAAATATTTTTTTTTTTTTACACACATACTTCTTTTTAAAGTGTGCATATGTCAGGAAAGAAAACCCATTTAAAATGCTTCACTTACAGATCAAGCAGCAGCAGACGTTGCTTTCTATGGTACCCTTCATTGATATGTTCTTTCCAGTTCTATCGAAAAAAAAAATAGATGCTTTAGTAAGGAAATATTTCCAGACTACACAGATAAGTGTTGAGCAACTAAACAACTAGAGCCAAAAAGACCAATTTAAGCAAAAAACAAGTTTCCCCACATTTGAAAAACAAATTCTCAGAACTCAGTCAGTTTGGTACTGTCCAATGCCATAGGGGAGATTTTCCCTTGGTTCCAGTATACTCAGGACAAGGGAGAGTCTCTCCAACTGGGAAACCTAAAGCTAGAAAAACCTGACAGATGTTCTAAACCTTCAAATGCGCTATCCACATTAAGTTTTGGCTGGAGCTACTTTAACAAAACATAAAATTAGATCTTTTCGATACTCCCTCTACCACCCCCAACAGTGCAACAACATATATCAGCAAATGTCCACATATGAGTCCATATATAGTGCTTTTCAATATATAGTGTTTTTCAAACGTTGGGGACTACTTCACTTTGCTGATTTTCAATCCAGGAACCTCAAATCAGGATACCTCAAAAAAATATAAACTCAATATAGTGCATTATCATTACAACAGAAAAAACGCACTCGTGAGAAACTAAAAGTGATTCCTCCTACACTCACACCCGTGACAAATCAACACTCCAAAAAACCAAAATTGTGATTAAGTGCAACACTCCACAACCAGTGTCACCATCCAAAAGTACTAGATGCCATTACCCTCTCATAGGAAAACACACGCATCCAAATAAAATAGTGCCATCTCTCTTGTGATATAAAATACCATTACCCTCTTCCAATGCAGACCAAGCAAAAATTCCTTCCGGGCAGTCCAAAATTTCTCCCTCACCGGAAGCTTCCTACTGCTTCCAATCCACCTTCCCCGTTCCTCAAAGGGGCAGATAATAAAAGGCTCAGTGGAGTATATAAAAGGATTTCACAATTTTATTCACATCTTACATAGAAAACGCCAGCGTCCATCCTCTCCCATAGTCCATATATAGCTGAACTCCAGTCTCCAAGATGGCCGTGCCGCTCCTTCCGGTTTGAGATTGTATTATTACGTCCTTACGTCCCTGACGCGTTTCGTCACTTCCAACTTTTTCACAAGGGTCAAAGACCCTTGTGAAAAAAGTCGGAAGTGACGAAATGCGTCAGGGACGTAAGGACGTAATAATACAATCTCAAACCGGAAGGAGCGGCACGGCCATCTTGGAGACTGGAGTTCAGCTATATATGGACTATGGGAGAGGATGGACGCTGGCGTTTTCTATGTAAGATGTGAATAAAATTGTGAAATCCTTTTATATACTCCACTGAGCCTTTTATTATCTGCCCCTTTGAGGAACGGGGAAGGTGGATTGGAAGCAGTAGGAAGCTTCCGGTGAGGGGAGAAATTTTGGACTGCCCGGAAGGAATTTTTGCTTGGTCTGCATTGGAAGAGGGTAATGGTATTTTATATCACAAGAGAGATGGCACTATTTTATTTGGATGCGTGTGTTTTCCTATGAGAGGGTAATGGCATCTAGTACTTTTGGATGGTGACACTGGTTGTGGAGTGTTGCACTTAATCACAATTTTGGTTTTTTGGAGTGTTGATTTGTCACGGGTGTGTGTGAGTGTAGGAGGAATCACTTTTAGTTTCTCACGAGTGCGTTTTTTTCTGTTGTAATGATAATGCACTATATTGAGTTTATATTTTTTTGAGGTATCCTGATTTGAGGTTCCTGGATTGAAAATCAGCAAAGTGAAGTAGTCCCCAACGTTTGAAAAACACTATATATTGAAAAGCACTATATATGGACTCATATGTGGACATTTGCTGATATATGTTGTTGCACTGTTGGGGGTGGTAGAGGGAGTATCGAAAAGATCTAATTTATATTTTGTTTACACTTTCAAGGGTGAGAGTGATACTTTTCGCGGGGATATCTAGAGTTTGTATTACATTTCTACTTTAACAAAATGCTTGGATCTCCATTTTTGCATCAGCACACTGGCTTACATGCCTTTACCTGCACCAAGAACTC